AGTGCAGCAGCAGTCGCAGCAGTTCAAGCAACCCGTGAAGCAGAATCCACCAACAACAACTCCTGCAACATCAGGAAAACAAGTTTTCAGCTGCGTTACAACAGTTCATACAACAGACTCAGATTTCGATGATGAAGACTACAAAAACTCCATCGAGCAACCTGAGAACATGATTTTACCTCAAGTATATGCTAATCTTGCTCGGGTTATCGCAGGACCAAATACTTGGTATCTTGACAGTTGTTGTGGACAACACATCTGCTCTGCCGGGACGCTCTTCATTACTCATCAGCGTCCGCTTCGACGTCCAGTACCTGTCACAGTTGCAAATGGACAAACCATTATGGCAAGATCAATCGGCAGCGTCATGTTGGATTCCGTGGACATAGGTTTTTCCTTACACGTTACGAATGCCCTTATCATCGCTGGACTTGGCTTTAATCTTCTTTCAATAGCTCAACTCCTGCGACATAAGATCAGGACACAAGGCAATTGTGAGATGATGGATCAGGAACCTTATCACAATGATACAAACACTTACATCGGGAGAGTAGCCATTCAGTATGGGGTCTCCGTTCTTCAATATCCCGAAGAAACTGATTTTCAGAAGGTTGACGTAGACTTCCGTGCAACTGCAGTTCCAACAGGATCTTGTACAGCAGCAGCAGTTATAACAGCTCTTGATTCCTGGCCAACAAACACAGCCGAGGAAGATACATCCACATGGAGGAATTACTATGACACTTTACAACAACTTGAAAACAAACCTACAGTACTTTGGGGACCCAGCAGCAGCAGTGAATCAGAGGAAGCAAAGCAGCAGAGTAGCGGTGAAGCAGAAACAGGGATTCTCGTCGGTCAACCTGCAGCAGATTCAACAAAAACAGAAATTGAGGAAGGGGAATTAGTTCTTCAACCGGAAGAAGTTCTCGATGTGGAAATTACAACCACGAAGTTACCTCTTACTCGCTTCGTTCCTGGCCAACTCGACGAATCACCAGCTTCTTCTCCTTTCATCGTTTCTTCATTTTATACTAACGCTGATTTTTATCTGCGATCAACAGGGCACAAAGCAACAGAAGATATTTGGCATCAACGATTAGGACATCCTTCACCGGGAATACTTAATCATACTATCCGAGCTTCAGTTCTTGACAAAAACAGTTTACTCTTACCGGATGGAACTGAGATGAAACCGTCGTCAAGACCAGCAGTCTGCACTACGTGCACAACTGCAAATCTCCCCGAACGAACCTTTTCCAAGTCACTTTCCGGGTTCAAGTCGATACACACTTATGCAGAAAGCTTACAGCGACATCCTCAACTTACCTGAAGCAGAACCTAAGGGGGAGTTATACATGATCTCTTTCATAGAGGCTTCTACTCGATATGTCTGGACAGCGAACATCCCGGCTCGGCATATGGCTCACTCTATATTCGTCGCGTGGCTCGCGGTGGCTGAAAGAGAATCGGGGGAGAAGTTACAAGAGTTTCAGAGTGACAGAGCAGGAGAGTATATGAGCACAACTTTCACAGAGTACCTTCAAACCCTCGGCATCAAGTGCAGGTTGTCCCTGCAACATCAACACCAACAGATGGGGGTAGCAGAAAGGATGAACAGGACTCTACAAGAGAAGATGCGAGTCTTGCTGACTCAGGCAGCATTGCCACCACATTTTTGGACTTACGCTTTGGACCATGCAGTTCTTCTGCACAACTTGTTGTCAACAACTTCTCTTCCAGAATTTTCTTCACAACACCTGCAGTGGACAAAAACAGTTGGCAACACAAAACTTTTACGAGTTTTTGGGTGCATCGTCCAATATTGACCTCCGACAGCAGCACTCGGAAATTTTTCTGAACGCGCCAAGTGGGGAGTATATATTGGCATCGAGAAGTAGTTTTACGCGTGGAAAATTATGGATCTTCGCACGAGTCGAATCGTACCAGCACGTGATTGTCTTTTCTACGAACGACTCACCTTACCTATTTTTCGTGCTCACCAGGCTGCAGCTGCCAATCCTGCCAGGCTGTTTGAGGGCTCGCGTGCTTTTGCCACCGACGAGGCCGAAGCAAATGTACAGGATGAGTCCGTGGCTGAATCCTCCGAAGCTGCCACAGACATCCCCGTGCCAACCACGTCAGCTGGAACTGCTGAGTTTATCCCACTCAGCGAAGCAGACTCTGAGGATGTTCGCGATGTGGTTCTTGATTACGAACGTGATCGTCAGCAGCAACCCATGCCAGTTGTCTCCAAAGCAGCGATCCGTTTAACACCTGAAGAAGTTGGGGGGGAACAAGGATCAGAACACAACTTCTCCAGTGTCAAATCAAATCGTCCGCGTTTTACAAAAACTGGTTTACAAATTTTGGGACTTGCCGTCGCAGTACAGCAAAACAGCAGTAAAATTCTGGAGCCGAAAACAGTTCGCCAAACTTTGACAAGTCCTCACAGGGAAAAATGGCGTGAAGCCATGGACCGAGAGTTAGCGGCTCTGGAAAGGTGTGGCACCTGGGATCTTATCCCACTGAAGGAAGCAAAGGGGAGTAAAGTTCTTACCGGAAAATGGGTCTTCCGCGTTAAGACGAACGCTGATGGCTCCTTCGAAAAATTCAAGGCGCGATGGGTTGTCCGCGGCTTTGAGCAAACATTTGGACTCGACTACGAATTAACTTTCGCTCCTGTCGGCCGATACACTAGTATCAGAATTCTTCTCTGCATCGCGGCCTACCGGAATTTCAGACTTCGACAAATCGACGTCGCAAATGCATTTTTATATGCACCCATCGACGCCTTAATTTTGGTTGAGTACCCACATTCCTACGAAACTAATCCTCCCGGCGTGTGCCATCTCATAAAATCTCTCTACGGCATTAAACAGGCTCCACGACTTTGGCATCAGTATCTACATCGACAACTGTTAACTACGGGGTTTCGTCAACTTCCACACGACCAGGGAATGTACCTGCTTACCAATGGTCCTGACTACATTCTACTCGTCGCCTACGTCGATGACTTACTTTATATCAGCACTACGGATTCTCTCGCTACTATCTTCGAAGAGAAACTCCAACGGAATCTACAGATTACTATCGCTCCTACAGTCACACTGTTTCTTGGACTTAGCATCCACCGAACAGCAACTGCTATTCATCTTACAGCTTCAAAGTATGCAGCTACTCTAGCCGCATGTTTTAATCTCACAGCTTCAACAGTAACCACTCCTTACTGATCTCTACCGACTAACCATCAACTAGATACTACTCTACTCGATAACGCGGAACTACAGGTTTATTAGCAGCAACTGGGTTGTCTTCTTCGCGCTCTGCAGTATTTCATTTCGACACCTAAAGTCGGACTTACCTACCAAGTTACTACTACAAAAACCTTCTATCTGAACGGGTACGTTGATGCTGATCATGCAGCAGATACTACTAATCGACGATCTCGCATCGGATTCATCTATGGACTCGAACCTATTGGGACTATCTCGTGGAATTCTACAAAGAAAGAGCTAGTAGCTCTTTCATCCGCTGAAGCCGAGTTTATAGATGCATGCACAGCTACTCGCGAAGGTCTCTATCTGCAAGCGCTACTAGAGGAAGCGAAATTAATGACAAGTACACAGTTCACCCTGCAGTGCGACAATCAAAGTGCAATCAAGAGTGCCCACCAGCCTGGTTTCGCCAACAGGACGTAACATATTTCGTTGCGGTTCTTTTTCGTCAAAGATGAAGTCGAGAAGGGGAGAATGCAATTGGTCTACTGTTCGACCAATGAAATGGCTGCAGATTTTCTCACCAAGAAGCTGACACGTCAGAAGTTCCAATACTGCAACGAGCTCTGCGGAATTATCAAGAAGTGACACTATCGGAATTCCAGAAATGAAGGGAAGTGTTGAGATAAAATCGTACTTAAGCATTCCTGTAAGTAGTTCCGATAGATATTGTCGAGTTACACTATAGTTAGCATCCGTAGAATGACGTCAGCAAGTAGCGCTCATCTGGATGATTACGTCAGCAAGTCGTTTCAGTCACGCGAACAGTCGCGCTCTTTTCAGTAGCGGTTAGAGCGCATAACGATAGCTCGAACAGGTACATCACCGAATAGGTACTTCTAGCAGATATAAAAGTAGCTTGTACAACTTGAAGTGTTAACTTGTTCTTCAGTAAATTCTTGTCAACACTTTACAAGTTCTAAGACTTACAATGTCTTACTAGTCTACCATTCCAGCAAAGATCCTTGGTTAAGTCTTGAAGTATCGCAAGGCTGTTAACATCAGCCTTTCTACTACTCTGCCCCTATCCTCCTGTTAGGATTAAGGACGGAGTCTAGGTGAACTTAGGAGCTAGAATTACTCAAAATATAAATCCGAAATTCTGGACAGAAAAGTCGTCTTTACAAGAAACGACGTCGACGAAAAACTAGCCGTTGGAATGTCGCGAAACTTGGATATGTTGTAGCTCTTAATCTCAGCTACCGTTCCCAATTTGAATCACGTTGATTGATGAAGTATTCGCGACGCTATGGCTTTCGACGCATTAGGGGGTAAGCTGTAGGAGGAGAACTTAACTCAATCTCAAAGGTTCAATCAAAGTTCAAGAATCTCACAAGGAATTTAGAGGAGCAAGAGAAAGGTTGGGATAGAAGAGAGGGATGAGAGGGAAGGTCCCAAGAGAGTCCCCAACCAAGGAAACCCCATAAGCACAAAGATTCCCTCCCTATAGGAACCTCAACTTTGACCTTTGTCCCTTCCCAACCAATCCATCCAAGTTGGCCACCCTTGCCAACCTAGCTTGGTTGTTCCCAACCTATTTGCAGCTGTTACAGTAGAGTGACAAGTTTACCCAACCCCAAAGGTCCCAACTCCATATAAAGTCACCCCACAACTTCACTTTGTAACCGCCGCAATTGTAACGCAAGCTCATGAACTTTGAATCTTCATAGCTTTCGCGTTCTTGCTCCGATTGAAGGGATTCTCGTTGCGTCGGAAAGATCTTCTCAAGATCTATCATCACAAAAAACCTGCTCAAACAAAATAACACAAAACACATTCCCAAACTCCAGAACACATCACACACAAATTCTTGCACACGTTCAAACCACACATGCAAGTTGAAAAATATGGGATGGGAGGCAGACAGAATGTGATAGCATATGATGACATCACACAACAATCTCCCCCTCTGGCTGCCAACCATCATCCACCATACCAACATCTCAAGCATGCATACTCAATGCACACTCATCCCAGCAAGCTTCATGCCCTTCCAATGATCCGCCTCCGCCAGACGCTTGGTGAAAATATCTGCTGCCTGCTGATGGGTCTTCACTATCTCCAGCCGCACCTCCTTATTGAGGAGTCTCCTCACCCAATGCCACTTAGGCCTTATGTGTTTTGTCAGCCCATGCAGACAAGCATTCTTGGCGAGCTTCACAGCGGACTCATTGTCACAAAACACAACTGTCGGCTTCTCCTGACCAACTCCCAACTCCTCCAACAAACGCCTTAGCCACACTACTTCCTTGGCCCCATGGTGTAAGGCCATGTACTCAGTCTCACATGAAGACAATCCCACCTCATTCTGCTTCTTGCTGCGCCAGCTCACAGCACCACCTCCCAGCAAGCACACATAACCCCCAATGCTGGTGCCATCCGCTTTCACTGAGTTGAAGCTAGCGTCAGTATAGCAACTCAAGAGCATCTCACCACTCTTCACATCTGCAGCACCTCTCTGCAACCGCTGCCTCACTCCACTGTACTCCAATCCCACTGATGCCGTAGCACTCACATAGCGGACCAACCTCTTGGCCGCTTCCAGCTGCTCATGACTAGGACGTGAAACCACGCTAGCCAGTCGTGATGTAGCAAATGCAATGTCAGGCCGTGTATGATTTGCAGCATAATTCAGCGACCCAACCATCGAATGAAACAGCTTCCTGTCACTATCACCCACTACCTCCTCATCAGCACATGGCTCCACAGTAAACCCTGAAGGTAGTGGTGTTGCTGGCTTTCCCCCATCTTGCAGCCCATACTTCTCAGCCAGCCCCTCACAGTACTTCCTCTGGTGCAACCTCAGCACACCCTTTTCCACATCTCTCTCCACATGCATCCCCAAGTAGTACTTCGCCTCACCCATCTTGGAGCACTTGAACTGCATCTCCAGCATCTGCTCTGCGCTGTCCAGCAAAGCAGTTGATGCAGAAAAGAGAAGGATATCATCCACATACACCAAGAGCATGAGGATTTCGTCCTTCTCCTGCAGCAGGAACAGGCTGGGGTCACACTCACTCTTCTTGAAACCCCCAGCCAGCAGCGCCTCCTCCAACTTCCCCCTTTTCTCCTTAGGCACATGAAACACCACCATGCACCCAAATGCCCTCAGCATGTTCACAGCTGGAGCACTCCCATACCACTTGACATATGGGATCCACTCCTTATCTCCAACTGTAGCCAGCACCCTGTTCTTCACAAGGGCGACCTGCCTCAGTGCAGACACCCAAAATGGATCAGGCAGCCCTGCACGCCCAAGGAGAGTGCGTGCCCCCTCCTGCAGGGTCCTGTTGAACCTCTCAGCCACGCCATTCTGCTGCGGGTTGTAGGGCACTGTCAGTTGATGCTGGATCCCCTTCCTCTTCAACTCCCCCTCAAAATCAGCTCCAATGAACTCCCCACCATTGTCACTGCGGATCACCTTCACCTTGTGTCCGCATTCCCTCTGAGCTCTAGGCATCCACTCCTTAAGGACAGCCGCTGCCACCTCCCCTTGCTCTTCAAAGGGTAAACCCACACTGCCCGAGTGTGGTCATCCACAATTGTCAAGAAATAGCGGCTGCCTGAGAGGGAAGGGGCTCTTGTGGGCCCCACCACATCCATGTGCACAAGTGCAAGTGGGGTCTTGGCTGGTCCTGTAGTGCTGTTGAAGGGGAACTTGGAGAACTTGGTCTCCAAGCATGTAGGGCAGCTCCCAATCTCCTTCACTCCCCCTTTCACCTCCAAGCCCTTCAGGCTCCCATCCTTCACCAACTTCTGCAGCATAGGGAAGTTCACATGACACAGCCTCTCATGCCATGTCTCCCAATCGGCCTCTCCACTCCTTGATGAAGCCTTAGCCCATGCCGCACTCGCATCCACACCAGCAAGCACCTCACCATGTGTCTGCTGCTGCTGCACTTTCTTGACTGCTTCCAGGACCCCATCAGTTGGTGCAGTTGCATCTCCTCCTGCTGTTGCCTTTGCCGCTGCTGCCGTTGCTGCTGTTGGAGTCTTCCCATTCCATGGGATGATGGGCAGCTGCCACAGGTCCTTGATGCAGCTGGTCTCCTCTTCCAGACTCCACAGCACCTTCTTCCCAAGCTTAGCACGGCAGCTGGTTGGTCCAAAGGTCACTTCGGCCTTACTCTTCTGCAGTCGCCGCACAGAGAGAAGGTTAGCAGACAAGCCTTTAACCAGCAGAACATTCCCAAGCCCCACAAGCTCCCCATTAGCTCCCTTAACCTTGGCATTCCCAACACCAATCACGGGGAGCAAAGCACCTGACGCTGCTGCCACATACTTAATCTTCCCAGGGGGTTTTACCTCATCAAGCAAATCTGCCCGTGGAGTCATGTGACTGGTGCAACCCGAATCAATCACCCAGTGCGTGAGAGGGTGCATCACAACCTTTCCCACAGATCCCACATCACCCTCATGCCCATGCACATCCTCAACCATAACAAACAAACCAGGATAGGCATTACCTTGTGCACCTTCACCTTGTGCACCTGAGCCTTGCACAGCGCCACCTTGTGCGCGTTCACCACTGGGCGGCTTCATGCCTGGAGGTGCCCATCCCTCCAGCCTGCTGAAGCACTTGAACCAAGGATGCCCAACCTTCTTGCAGTACCAGCACGTGCCCTCCATTCTGGTACTCCCCCTGCCACTAGAGCTCCCATGCCCCTCATTATAGTCACCTCGGCCTCTACCTCTGCCAAAGCTCCTCCCACGGCCTCGGCCTTTCCAACCCCCTCTTCCTCTGCTGCGCCCTGCAGCTCCATACCCCTCAGCAGTCTTAGTGGCAGCACCGCCTCCCACATGGCGTCTGCGGAAGTCCTCCTGCAGAATCTGCTGCCTTAGCCACTCAGGTGTCCATTGATCTTGCTGAGAGTTGAGGGTGGGGATGAGGTTGTCCCAAGAGTTGTCCAACACCGAGATGATCTTGGTGCACTGCTGCAGCTGAGATACACTGCTGCCCGCTGCTGCCATCCTTGCATAGGTGTCCTTGATCTTGTCAAGGACCGGCTTCACATCGTCCCTGGTCGCATGGAGATGGCAGCAAGTTCCTTCTCGAGCACGATCACCATCGGGAGAGTGTTGGGCTGAACCACATCACGTAGTAGTTTCCACGCCCTTGGACCCGAATCATCCGCTTCCACAAGATCCTTGATGTGCTCGAACATCTCCTTGTTGACCGATTGAAGAATGAGGTCGAAAAGCACCGCGCTTTTCTCAATCCACCGTTCACGTGCTTCGCCTTCTTCCGGCATCTTCTCTTCCCCAACAGCAATCTTCAGGAGCTTGTAGCGTTTGAAGGCACTCCTCATCCGTCCGCTCCATTCCTCATAGTTGGAGCCATCCAAAGCTTCAACTTTTGATGGCGGCGGCTCACTTGTCTTCTCAGCTACAGCTCCTCTTCCATTAGCATCTCCTCCTCTCTCATTCATCTTCTCCTTGAGAAATGACGAATTTCAGCTCCCCTTTGCTGTCCACACTCAGCTCCCTCGATATTTTCACAAGTGTCGGCGTCCACGAAATTTCGGCAGAGTTTCCCCTTAGCGGAAGACACATCCAACCTTTAGAACACCACTTAGGCACACCCACAGGCCATGGTGGGTCTAGAAGGGTCTTCACACTTCTGTAGACTCCTCTCAATGTCCTTAATATCGCTCTGATACCACTTGTTAGGATTAAGGACGGAGTCTAGGTGAACTTAGGAGCTAGAATTACTCAAAATATAAATCCGAAATTCTGGACAGAAAAGTCGTCTTTACAAGAAACGACGTCGACGAAAAACTAGCCGTTGGAATGTCGCGAAACTTGGATATGTTGTAGCTCTTAATCTCAGCTACCGTTCCCAATTTGAATCACGTTGATTGATGAAGTATTCGCGACGCTATGGCTTTCGACGCATTAGGGGGTAAGCTGTAGGAGGAGAACTTAACTCAATCTCAAAGGTTCAATCAAAGTTCAAGAATCTCACAAGGAATTTAGAGGAGCAAGAGAAAGGTTGGGATAGAAGAGAGGGATGAGAGGGAAGGTCCCAAGAGAGTCCCCAACCAAGGAAACCCCATAAGCACAAAGATTCCCTCCCTATAGGAACCTCAACTTTGACCTTTGTCCCTTCCCAACCAATCCATCCAAGTTGGCCACCCTTGCCAACCTAGCTTGGTTGTTCCCAACCTATTTGCAGCTGTTACAGTAGAGTGACAAGTTTACCCAACCCCAAAGGTCCCAACTCCATATAAAGTCACCCCACAACTTCACTTTGTAACCGCCGCAATTGTAACGCAAGCTCATGAACTTTGAATCTTCATAGCTTTCGCGTTCTTGCTCCGATTGAAGGGATTCTCGTTGCGTCGGAAAGATCTTCTCAAGATCTATCATCACAAAAAACCTGCTCAAACAAAAATAACACAAAACACATTCCCAAACTCCAGAACACATCACACACAAATTCTTGCACACGTTCAAACCACACATGCAAGTTGAAAAATATGGGATGGGAGGCAGACAGAATGTGATAGCATATGATGACATCACACAACACCTCCCACCCTGCCTTCAGGGAGGCGCTGGCGGCTAAGGACGCGGCTGCAGCCGTGCCCGAGCTAAGCGTCATTGACCTTATCATACGGACACTTGCCGACATCCTTGGACGTAGTCACGTGCGCTACACCCGCTTCATGGCGCTGCAGCTGATCTTCTGTCAGTCGACCCTGGAACACCATGGAATCCATGTCATCCGCTGGCTCTCCAGGGGCAAGGCGGTGAACCGCCTCGTGGACGTGCTCCCAGCCGCCATCTTGCTGCTACGCGAGCACGGGAGTGACTTGTACGAAGTCGTTACTTCGTTCAAGTTTCATTTTCTCCTGCGCTTCCTCGCCGACATTCTAACGGAGCTGAACATCCTCAACCAACGGTTTCAGCAGTGCCAGGTATGCATCACCGTGTCTGATCTATTCATTATATCGCTACGCGTGTCTGACTCTCACCCCCCATGTTTGCCGACCGGTCCATGTGGTTTCTGGCGCAAAGCATAGCACTGATGCGTGGTGTGTGTATTGTGCCCGCCCCTATAGGTTGACGTAACACTCGTGGCACACGTGGTTGAGCAAACCAAGATGCGGATCTCGGCGCGCTATCTTAGCTCTGGGCCTGGGCACGTCTTCGGCCATGGGGAGAAGCTCCATCTGCCGGAGTTCATCGCGGCGCATGCGGCTAAGGACAAGAGGGTGATGATGGCCAAGGGCGTCGACGGTGACGGAAACCCGCAATCGTTCTCCTTCAAACTCCACGAGCGACCGCTGCCAGGCCAAGATTCTGACGGCGACGTGACAGCCTGCTTCGAGCTCTGCGTCAAGTATGCTCGCTCTGTCAACATGTTCCTCGACCGCCGCCTGAACGATCTGCGTAACCTGGAGGGGACTAAGTTGTTCCTGGACAAGACCTACCTGGATGACGACATCCTGCGCGTGGCGGCCTTCAAGAAGTGGCTAAAGCAGCTGGACGGCCTGTTTCGGCACAAGCTCCCAGGTAATTTAGAGCGCCTGCTTCTCAACCATGGAGTCATGGTATGCTATGCTATGCGAACAGAATTGCTGCCTCTCAAGTCTCAACACTGAACCATTCCTCCCTCATCGCCCCGAACCCCCTTGCAGGATTCAAGTACAGCAATGCAGTCACGGAGCTATGGATGTTCACATCCACCATGCACTCCCAGCATCATCATGAGGACTTCTTCCAGGCGCTGAGCAACACGCTGCGTGACAGCAAATGGCAGCTCAGCTACCCCAACATCATGCTCATGTGGCAAGCTGCTGCCGTTCTCTCGCTGAGCACTGTCGACTGCGAGCGCGGTTTCTCCAAGCAGATGCTCATAAAGACATGGGCGCGGGGTAGCATGGGCGACATCACCCTCGGCCATCTCATGCGGTGCTCCCTGCTGGACTCTGACGTGGACTGGTTCGACGTGGTGGCCATCTTTCGTGGAGAAAAGCCCCGCCACACTATCCGAGACTTCACCGGTGCCATCCCCAGTTCGGCGCTGTTTGCTGAGCCAGAGAACGCAACACCCTCTGCTGCTCCCAGCTCAGTCGGCGGGGGGAATAGTAGGTCTGCAGAGTGAGCTATTAGTAGCGGGAGTATTAGTGACTGGCGTGAGACTCACAGAACATGCAGTAGTAGTAGTAGTAGTAGTAGTAGTAGTAGTAATAGTTGTAGTAGTAGTAGTAGTAGTAATAATAGTAGTAGTAGTAGTAGTAGTAGTAATAGTAGTAGTAGTAGTAGTAGTAGTAGTAGTAGTAGTAGTAGTAGTAGTAGTAGTAGTAGTAGTAGTAGTAGTAGTAGTAGTAGTAGTAGTAGTAGTAGTAGTAGTAGTAGTAGTAGTAGTAGTAGTAGTAGTAGTAGTAGTAGTAGTAGTAGTAGTAGTAGTAGTAGTAGTAGTAGTAGTAGTAGTAATAGTAGTAGTAGTAGTAGTAGTAGTAGTAATAGTAGTAGTAGTAGTAGGTTATCTAGCTATGCATTGATAATGCTAGAGACTGTTAGAAGGCTAGCTTAGCTAGGAAGCTAGGAAAGGCATGAGGTTTAGCTAGGAGGAGCCATGGAGTGGCGTGAGGTTTAGGAAGGAGAAAAGTTGAGGAGAGAAAAGGGAGTTGGGATAGAAAGAGAGAGGCATACAAGGAGGGGATTGTACCCTCTACAGTAATGTTCGGTAACCTACCAAGCCTAACAATTATATAACTCAATATATAATTTAACACACCCCCTAGGCTTGGTAGTTACAAGCCCACACACACCCCCACACCCCCTAACCTAGCACCCCCATTCCAGCCACAGTGACAGCGACACTAGCTCGGTCGACCCCTCGGCGCGTGAGGCGGCGACGTCGACCGCAGGGGCTGCGGCGGCGATGGCGGCAGCGGCGGCAGTATCGACAGCGGTGGCGGCGGCGGCGTGCGGCTGCGTGGCCCCGACGCAAGCGGCGACGGCGGCGGCTTCGACAACAGCGGCGGCGGCGGCGGCGCCCGCACCTCTCGGTGACGTGGCCAGGCCCCGCGACGGTGGGACGGCCGGCGGGAGTCAGCCGTCGTCTGCGGAAAGGAAGAGGACACAGGGGAAGGAGGGGGGGGGGGGGGGGGGGGGGGGGGGGGCCACAGGCTGGCATGCGGGCGGCCGGTCTAGCGTCGCGCGGCCGGCTGCAGCCCGACGACGCCGTCACAGAGCGGCGTCGACGCCGCAGCGGGACGTCAATACTGCGACGGCAGCACGGTGGCCCGATACCACGGCAGTGCGTCGAGACGGCCGCGGCACGACGCGGCCAGCGGCATCACGACGCCGCCACTGCAGCAAAACGTGGCCGCCATGGCCGCGCGAGTGAACGAGGGTGAGGAGTACGCGGCGGAAGCGTGAGGAGGCGGTCCAGCAGGGAGGACCTCTTGCTCTGATACCATGTTAGAAGGCTAGCTTAGCTAGGAAGCTAGGAAAAGCATGAGGTTTAGCTAGGAGGAGCCATGGAGTGGCGTGAGGTTTAGGAAGGAGAAAAGTTGAGGAGAGAAAAGGGAGTTGGAATAGAAAGAGAGAGGTATACAAGGAGGGGATTGTACCCTCTACAGTACCGTAATCCCCCGTATAAAACACCCGCCGGAATTAAGCTCCCCCGGGTAGCTTGAGCGGGTATGGGTGTTTAATTTTTCTGGATATACACAACACCCTACTTTCGGACGTGAAAACTTTTGAACACCCCCCTGCCACCTAGAATCTCCATTTTTAGCAGGAAACACTAGAATTTTGCGGTGCGTAGATGTGTCCAACCATTCGTTTTTTCCACTCCTGCTGGGGCAACCGTATGCACGTCAAAGCAAGTGGGGAAAACAAGCTCGTGGCCATCGCGACGCGGGTATTTAGGTAGGAGACGAGTCTGCCCGAACGAAAACAAAGGCACCGAGAACATTGAAATCCGAAAGGTTCATACTGTACACGACTTTCGCGTGTCGCGCCAAATCAAACGTGTGCCGATTGGTTGTTCTGGCAGCATCCTCTCTGACACTGAACGCGCAGTGCCAATGTGGCATGCAGATGGGCAATATCCGCCGGTATGCAATGAGATGACCAAAAGTGGGTATCTGACTCAAATGAAGGGGGTGAAACATGCACACTTGAATTCCAATAAAAAAATGCATATGCACATTTTTTTTCTTTTAATTACACCCAGCCCAAAATTTCGCTGCATTTTTATTAACACCATAGGGTGTTTTATACGGGGGATTACGGTAATGTTTGGTAACCTACCAAGCCTAACAATTATATAACTTGTTGGGGTGAGAAAAGCCCTTAGGATCTTTCCAGAGACTAAGTCCCAGTTGTAGAATGAGGCTTGAGTTGTTAGGATTAAGGACGGAGTCTAGGTGAACTTAGGAGCTAGAATTACTCAAAATATAAATCCGAAATTCTGGACAGAAAAGTCGTCTTCACAAGAAACGACGTCGACAGAAAACTAGCCGTTGGAATGTCGCGAAACTTGGATATGTTGTAGCTCTTAATCTCAGCTACCGTTCCCAATTTGAATCATGTTGATTGATGAAGTATTCGCGACGCTATGGCTTTCGACGCATTAGGGGGTAAGCTGTAGGAGGAGAACTTAACTCAATCTCAAAAAGGTTCAATCAAAGTTCAAGAATCTCACAAGGAATAAGAAGGAGCAAGAGAAAGGTTGGGATAGGAAGAGAGGGATGAGATGGGAGGTCCCAAGAGAGTCCCCAACCAAGGAAACCCCATAAGCACAAAGATTCCCTCCCTATAGGAACCCCAACTTTGACATTTGTCCCTTCCCAACCAATCCATCCAAGTTGGCCACCCTTCCCAACCTAGCTTGGTTGTTCCCAACCTATTTGCAGCTGTTACAGTAGAGTGACAAGTTTCCCCAACCCCAAAGGTCCCAACTCCATATAAAGTCACCCCACAACTTCACTTAGTAACCGCCGCAATTGTAACGCAAGCTCATGAACTTTGAATCTTCATAGCTTTCGCGTTCTTGCTCCGATTGAAGCGATTCTTGTTGCGTCGGAAAGATCTTCTCAAGATCTATTATCACAAATACCTGCTCAAACAAAAATAACACAGAACACATTCCCAAACTCCAGAACACACCACACACAAATGCTTGCACATTCAAACCACACATGCAAGTTGAAAAAACATGGGATGGGAGGCAGACTGAATGTGATAGCATATGATGACATCACACAACATGAGTAGTGCAGCGGAAGTTGAGGTAGTTGAACCCTTGTACTAGTATATGAGAACAAGTGATTAATTAAAGAAAACAAGCATACAACAATATATAGAAAATAAGAAAGCAGTTGTAGAATACAGTTGCAGGAGCGGTTATCGAGTCGCACAGCGACTCGATTGTCGCTTCGGTTACCATCCGCGATGTTGTAACGGTCAGTCGCAACCTCCAGTTGCGACCTTTCGAGTCCCTTCGTGTTCTTTGTCCACCCCTCCGTTGACTCGCGTACCCGTTGCGATCTTCCTCGAGTGTAGTGTTACACTTCAGAAACGCTTAAAGTCCTTGAGATATTTCCAACACTCCCCTTCATTTCTGGAGTGCTGACGTGTTCAGATCCGGTGACGTTTGTCTGCCCAGTCAGCAGCGTGCAGTAATCGAATTTTGCCTTCGCCAATTTCTTCGTCAGATAGTCTGCGGCCATTTCTGTCGTCGGGCAGTAACTGAGTTGAAGTCTCCCCTTCGCGATTTCATCCTTGACGAAGAAGTACCGCAGGGCGATGTGCTTGGTTCGGTTGGCGAAGCCTTCCTTGTTCGCGATTTTGATCGCAGATTGGTTGTGACCGAATTTCTTCGCGACAGTGCCTGCGTACTTTCCAGCGTGTAGGTAGAGCGCCGAGTTGTCTTCGACGACATTCAGTCCCAGGTACTGGGTCTTGCAGAGCCTTTAACTCCTTTTCCATAGCCTCCTTCCATTTCGCCTTATGTTCCCCCCACAGAGCCTGCGACAGAGTCGAGGGCTCGCGCGGAGATGGCGGCGGCGGATGCTGGACGGAGACCCATAGGCCGAGTATCTGCAGTCCTGTTGGTGTGTATCGAGGGGAATTTTCATTCCCGGAATAGGCTGCTTCGTCACCGTTTTCTGGATCAGGTAAGAAGTTTGGGCCGATGCGTTCTGAAACATTCGTGTCGACCGGGTGGGGTGTAACGTAACCGTGGTCAGCGAAGTGATAAAAGGTGTCGAGGTTGTTGCTATCGAGAGGATTGTCTTCGTCGAGTGGAACAGGTACGGAACAGAAAGGGAGTGGTCCGGCAGCTTCCGAGGCTCCAGGTACGTCTTCTTCTGCTGTGTCAGCTTCGGCAGCACGGTCGGCAAAGGAACGAAGGCCCGCGAAGCCGTCGGTGGGGTCATGTGTGTCGGCAATGTTGTCCAGGTAATGCTGCAGCATCAGTCGCTCGTAGAAGATAGCATCACGTGATGCCACTGTAGTTTTGTCTTGTATGTCGAGGATTTTCCATGCGTGAAAATGTTGTGCGATGCCGAGGTGTAGCCCCCATCGTGCTCGTTGGGTGAAACGTCCTGCTCTGGCTAAAATGTCGCTGTAGACTTTTTCCATCGGTGCGTATGCTGGTGCGCTTGGGTTGTGATGAGATGGGAAAGACTGGTGGGGAAGATCGGCTTCGGGGCACGTAAAGCACCGTGCGCGTGGTCGTCGAAGTTCTTGGCCGCTCGTTGTTAGGAGGGCGTTGCGTTCTAACACTTCTGCTTCGATGGTTTGCAGTATTGTACTGTTTGCAGGGTGTCCGGATCGTTGGTGCCAGATGTCGTCGGGAGCGCGATGGCCGGGCAAGCGGTGGTATATGTCGGTGTTGGAGAAGAACGCGACGACCGTGGCGGGACTTCGACAGACTTCTCGTGTGATGGGCATAAGTTGATCTGCTTCGGTTGGCGGTCCTCGGATCGCTGGTGGTGGTACTCGGCTGGGTCCTGCTGCTGCTACTGCAGGTGATGGTTGGGAGGGGACACTTGCTGGTACTTGTCTTTCTTGTTTGATGGCTGCTAATGCTCGTGTTCTTTCTGCTGCAGGTATGGTGTTGGAGTGCCAGAACCCATCAGGGTCAAAGTCGGGGTCAAGATCCGGCGGGTGTGTCCAGGCGGCGAACGACACGATTCCGTTGCTGTCGGCAGTACCGCGGTCGGGGACGAAGTCCAACATGAAGACGCCGGACTTCAGGAGAGCACGACCGATGAAGAGACCGCCCTTCCCGTGGTAAAGGCGAAACTCGTTGGAGTAGGAGTCGCACTCCAGGTGAATCCCTTTTGCCATTAGCTGGCTGACGCTTAGTAAGTTGTATCCCAAGTTGTCGACGATGAGGACCTTGTTGAGTTGAAGTATAACGTTTGTCTCCATGGATTGTAACTGAACCACTCCTTGTCTGTTTGTTTTCGGGTTTTCGTTGTTGGCGACGGTGATGATGACGTCGCGGGTGAGGTGTCGCTCTCGTTGCACGAAGCGTCCGGAAGAACACATGTGTTGACCACAGCAGCTGTCCAAGAACCAGGTGTTTCGCCCGGTGGGTTCGGCGTTGGCGACCGCAGCGTATGTCGGGTTGACCTCAAGTCCTTGTGAGCACGGCGGTGGAAGTTCTTCTTCGTCTGGTGCGTAAGTGGGTGGTTATCTGGATGCGCAGTTGTCGATGTGTACCATGCAGTTAATGATGTTCGGTGTCCCTTGTACAGATGTGGAAGAGCGCCTTGGAGGGCTTTCTTGAGTGGAGGCAACGTGTGGGTCTACTGGACAATAAACACGAGGACGTGTGCAGTTGATTTTGGAATGTCCGGAAGTCTGACAGTTGTGGCAGAACGGTGGCACGAAGGTGAGTCCTCTGTTGTCGCGTTGATCTTGTTTGCCGCGTCGATTGTAGTTGTTGTCGTTCCTTCGTTGAGTGTAGAAAACTAACTGCTGCTGCTTCCTTGGTTGTCTTTCTTCGAACAGATCCATCTCCTGTTGTTCAGCGTGAAGCTCGGCGCAGAGGTGCATCTCCGATATCCTTCCGTGGGCGCGAAGAAGCGAGCGTGTGGTTCTCCATTCTGGCCCGAGCCCGGCGAGGACAAGCGTCACGAAGCTTTCTTCAGTGATTGTTCCTCCGCACCGAAGCAGGCGGTCGCGGAGTGTTTGGCATCGACTCATATACTGCATCGCATTTTCCCCGGTCTTCATCTGTATTGTTGTCAGCTGTTGCATGAGTCTGCTTTGTGTCACGCTGTCGTTTGCTTGATAGAGACACTTGAGATGATGCCATGCGAGTTCCGCGGAGTTTCCGTAGCTCCGATACGTTCTGATGCTCTGCTGTTCTTGTGGTGACAGGTTCCGCAGGAGAACTGTATACGCCAGCAGCGACTGATACGTGAAATTTTCTTGTTCCTTTCCAGTGCCGTTGCTTGGGAATGGCAGGGACCCGTTGAAGTATCCCAAGAGATGCGTAGCCTCCATCAGCAGCTTGAACTCAAAGCTCCAGGTAAAGAAGTCGTGTCCGTTGAATGGTGAGGATGTCTGTAACTTGATTACGTGTGAAAACTGCGCCTGGAGACTCAAAATCTCGTTTGGTGTCTGTTGTGATGCAGCTGCTGTTGGTTGGGCACGGGGCGGCATGAACTCGAATGTCCCCGGTGAAGAGTGATAAGGCGCAAAGGTAGGCGCTTGATTGTGTCGCCCGAACGATGAGTTGTCGAGGCTCATCGGCGCTAATCCCATGTTTCCTCCGTTGCTCTGTGTTGAATGCGCAGGTGTCCTTGTCTGCTGCTGCAGGTCCAAGTGCGACATGAAGCTGAAGAACCTTTCCATAAGGTTCGGATCCACGCTTGAAGAGGGTGATGGGGTCACCATTTCCGGTGTTCTTCCTGTTGTTTCTTGAGCAGCGCCGGTCTCGGTTTGCAGTCCTGAAGTATGCAATCCAGAGTTGCCGGGTTGAATGTCTTGGGCGCTGGGTGAGCCCGTAGAGATTTTCTTGCCCTTGCTGTCCATGACTTGTAATCAATAAAGTCGTTGAATTGCATATTGAACGTAGTTGCTGGGAGTTTGGCCTCTGACCAGCTCTCATACCATGTTGGGCTGAGAAAAGCCCTTAGGATCTTTCCAGAGACTAAGTCCCAGTTGTAGAATGAGGCTTGAGTAGTGCAGCGGAAGTTGAGGTAGTTGAACCCTTGTACTAGTATATGAGAACAAGTGATTAATTAAAGAAAACAAGCATACAGCAATATATAGAAAATAAGAAAGCAGTTGTAGAATACAGTTGCAAGAGCGGTTATCGAGTCGCACAGCGACTCGATTGTCGCTTCGGTTACCATCCGCGATGTTGTAACGGTCAGTCGCAACCTCCAGTTGCGACCTTTCGAGTCCCTTCGTGTTCTTTGTCCACCCCTCTGTTGACTCGCGTACCCGTTGCGATCTTCCTCGAGTGTAGTGTTACACTTCAGAAACGCTTACGTCCTTTGAGATATTTCCAACATAACTCAATATATAATTTAACTAAGACAACGTGCTTGTATGCATGCGAGATTTGAAAGCACACCAAAGTATGATCGACTGTTGTAAGCACATAAAAGGGTGTTCAATTTTTTTCCCTGGCCAAACAGTGTACTTGGTTTTTTTTTCAAATTTACCCTGATTTTCAAAGGGTGCCGAAATTTCCACCCTAGTAGGCAGGGCAAAAAAAATTAGGTACCCTGATTACCAAGGGTCCCCCTAAACCAATTTTGAGCCCTGTTTCTTATCCCTAGGCATATTATCATGTAGAGCTTAACAAGATCCTTCTAAGTTTTATATCGTTTATTATTGGATGGCCCCCTGCTGGGTTGGTCTTTCATTGGTTCATTTTTTGCGTTTTCATGCCATCTCCACATCTCAACTCATTGTGAACGTTTCATTTTCACCTAAGGCGAACTTTGGTGTATGATTTATCCATTGTGAACATGAAAGTGTTTTGTTTTCCAGCGAGGAGGCTCATAACGTATCACGGTTCTCCCATAAATCCCTTCCACCACGACCAGCACCTCCATGAAGCCAGTCCTTAGAATTGCAGTCTGTTCGCCGCATCAACCATCAGCCATCACCCTCACCCGTTCATTCTCCTTCCATCCCGCGCGTTCCCCCTGCGCGCTTGTCTTCCCCTAGCCATCCGCCATGACGTACTATCGCGCGCGCTATCACCCGCTCGATTCCCTCGTCGATCTCTCCCACCTCTCCTCCCTGCCACCGCCCGCACACCCCCCCGCGCCCGCCCACAACCCCCATGCGCTTGCGCAACGGTTCTCCGCCCCCACCTCCCCGTCCGGCTCCTCCGTGCATTCCGCCTTCGGCCCCTCCTCCGCTTCTGTCATTCTCCCCCCTTCTTCCGCCTCCGCAATTCTTCCCCCCCCTGCCCGCGCAGCTTCCGCCAGCGACCACTTCGCGCTGACCGAGCCTGGCGCAGGGGACCCAGGCGGAGGGGGGAAAGGCGGACGGGAGGCGGTGGGATGGGTGGCGGAACTGTACGCGCAGCGGAAAGGGCACGAGGGGGGAGTGGCGGGGAAATGGTGTGAGCGAGCGGAAGGGCAGGGAAGCTCCGCGGAGTGGGAGGGAACGACGAGAGCGGCTGAGAAGGTGTGGGGGCCAGGGGAGGGTAGAGGTGGGTCAGGGGGGAGTGGAAGGGGAAGGCGAGGGGAGGAGGGCGGTGTGAGTGGTGAGGTAGAAGCAATAGCTGCCGCTGTCACTGGTGCTCGCACTGGTGCTTTTGATGGTGCTGGTGATGGTGCTGGTGATTGTGCTGCTGATGGTGCTGCTGATGGTGCTGGTGATGGTGCTGCTGCTGCGTACTCTGCTCCCCCTTCTTCTGCTCCTGACGGTGCTGCTGCCGCTGGCACTGGTGCTGCTGCCCCTGCTGCTCCTGCTCCCCCTCCCAGCACAGGGGGTGCTGCTCCTTCTCCCAGCACAGGGGGTGCTGCTCCCCCTCCCAGCACAGGGGGTGCTGCTCCCCTTCCCGTCCAGCCCTCCTCGTCCTCCGCCTCCTCCTCCCTCGCTGCTGTGCCCGCCTCCGCCTCTCCCTTCCATTCTCGCACCTCATCACTCGCCTCGCCTTCCCCTTACACTCCCACCACAACACCCTCTGCTCCCCCCGCTGCTGCCCCCCCTGCTCCCTCCGCTCCCCTCTCTGCAGCACGAGCACCAAATGCAGCACCACCAGCAGCAGGACCAGCAGCAGCAGCAGCAGCAGCTCCCGCTGCTCCACAGGTCTACACTCACCACTCCCTCTCCCCCTCCCCATCCGCTTCTGCCCCCACCGCCATCCTCCCACCGCCCAGCCCATTTCCCCTCTCCCCCCGCACCTACATTCCCCCACTCTCCTCCCCGTCACGACCCCAACCAGCCCTTTCGCTCTCCACCTCCCCAAAATACGACCTTCCTCTCTCCCACTACACCTCTGCTCCCGGCCCCACTACCTCCCCCTTCCCCCCTGCGCCCAGCCCCTCGTCCCACCCGCCCACTGAGATTCTATCAGGCGCAGCAGCCAGAGGGGTGGGCAGGGCGGGCAGGGAGGGGGGCATGGCGCGGGGAGGGGGAGAGCAGTGGCGGGAGCGGGTCTTGGCAGCAGCGGGAGGGGCAGTGGGGGCCGCACCAGCTTCGGCGGCAGCGGCAACAGCGGCGGCGGCGGCAGCAGCAGCGGCGGCAGCAGCAGCGGCGGCAGCAGGGGGTGGGGGGTACATGGTGGGCGGGCAGAGAATGGAATCCGGCGGGCTGCTGGGGGGCGTTATGGCGCAGAGGCGAGCCGCGGGAGGGGGGGGAGGGGGCTAGGGCTGATGGGGGGGGCCATGGGGCCGGGGTACGGTGGGGGCGGGGTAGGGGGATAGGGGTGGGGCAGTATGGGGATGGGTATGGGGAGGCGCACAAGAGGAGGCGGAGGGGGGTGGTGGGGCTGGCCGTGGGTGCAGCGGAGCAGGTGGGGCGCTGGTGGCACGAGGCGGACTGCCCAAGGGAGTGGCCGAGAGAGTGGCGGGAGTGGAGGGGTGCGTCGAGGCGGCAGCTCACTGTGCTGGGGTGCTTTGCTCTCGGCTGCTGCGTGCTGCTGGGGCTGCTGCTCGTTCTGGCACTCACAGGCCCCGCCCTGCCCTCCACCCGCAAGGTGTGTGGTTCACTGGATGCCTCAACGTCATACTCCTCGGCAATGCTGTGCTGCTCTTATCACATGTAAATATGTGTCCCGTGCCTCACATGTGTCCTGTGCCTCACATGTGTCCCGTGCCTCACATGTGTCCCGTGCCTCACATGCGCCCCGTGGCTCACATGTGTCCCTTATCTCGCATGTACATCTTACATCCCTTCTGTCTTCTCCCCCCCCCACTGCATCCCCCACCAGTCTGCATGGGACCCCTCGCCCCTCCCCTCCGCCTCCTCCGCCCTGCGCCCCGACCTGCTCCTGCATGCGCAAGCGGACTTGGAGCGCCTGGCGGCGGCGGAGCAGGGGGCGTCCTGCTGGGCGCTGCACGAGCGCCACCACCTCTACCCGCCCTCCACGCACAAGCCCTCCGCCGCGCTGCTCAGAGCGCTCAGGGCGTATGAGCACATGCACGAGGTTAGGCGCGCACGAGGTTAGGCGCGCACGAGGTTAGGCGCACACGAGGTGAGGCGTGCATGTGGAATGGAGCAGCCCCGAGGTGAGTGTGGCAGTGCAATTTCCATACCCTTCACCCTTCTGCCCTCCTCTCCCCTCCCCATTTGCTCTCCGCTTCGCATCGACCTTGCTCACTCATCCTCCTCTCTCCCTCCTCGCCCCCTCTCTCCGTGTGCCGTCCCTCTCCCTGTGTGCCGCCCCTCTCCCCGTGTGCCGTGCCTCTCCCTCCCTTCCACTCCGGTGGGCGGCAGGCATGTGTGGCGGGCGTGCAGAGCTGGCAGGCGCATGCGGAGCGGCTGGAGGCGCCAAGGAGCACATGCAAGTGAGCGGGCAGGGGGCACATGCAAGTGAGCGGGCAGGGGGCACATGCAAGTGAGCGGACAGGGGACACATGCAAGTGAGCGGGCAGGGGGAGCAGTGGCAGGGGAGGGGAGAGGGGGCCGGTTGGGTGTTGGGTAAGAGAGCAGTGCATGATGGGAAGGGGCAGCTGTAGCCCAAGAGTTTGAACCAATCTGCGCTCAAGGTGCAAAAATACGGTGATCGTATTATACAGGCCATTTAATATGGCCATATTTTTCGGCCATTTTATGAAAAAAACGCCGTTTTTTGTTTGGAAACCTTTTTTTTTTTTTTGGCAGATCCACGCGCATAATGGATCTGTGCCTTTTGGCGGGCGAAATGCGAGATCCGCGCATTTTGGCTGGCGAAATGCCAGATCAGTTCATTTCGGCCGTCAAAAGGCGAGATCCGCGCATTTCGGCGGTCGAAATGCGAGATCCGTGCTTTCCGGCGGTACATTTCACCCCGTTTTTTATAATTCGGCCAAAAAAACGAGCGTTTTTTTCGCACCACCCTCAAAATGGCACTTCTGGCCGTTTTTTATCGTGTTATACGGCCGAAAACTTCAGTACCGTACCAAACGGTCAAATTTCGAAAAGAAAGAAAGAAAGAAAGAAGAAGAAAAAAAAAAAAAACAAAACAAAACAAAACAAAAAAACAAACAAACAAAAACAAAAACCATTTTTTTGCACCTTGCCCGCGCTGCGCCTCACCACCTCGCGCTCTCTCTTTCTCTCTGCATCTCACAACAATTTACGCCCCTTCACACCCCCCAACCCCACCTGCCCCCCCTCAGGTACCTGGTGTGGTACGAGCCTCAGACGCCCCCCACTGTAGCGGCGCGGCTGCTGTCGCTGGTGTCGGCGTTCCTGTACGCGCTGCTCACCCACCGCGCTCTGCTTGTGGACACCACGGGCGACCTGCCCAGGTGAGAGACGCACTGCCCAGGTGAGAGAGGCGCGCTGCCCAGGTGAGAGAGGCGCGCTGCCCAGGTGAGAGAAGCGCGCTGCCCAGGTGAGAGAGGCGCGCTGCGGGGACTGCTGTACCTGTGGCCCGCCCCATGCACTTTCCTGCACTGCTCAATGCCCTACTTGCTCGCGGTTTCCCGCATCGCGCCCTTCTCAATCCCGCTCCCCACCTCCCCATTCCCCCCGTGCTGCCTCCCCCTTTCCCCTCCCCTCCCCTCAAAGTCTGCTGTGCAACCCCTTCCCCCACTCCTCGTGGTGGCTACCCGCACTTCCCGATCACTTCCGCCTGCACCCGCCGCACCAGGGCGAGTGGGTCAACGGCAGCACCAGCAACAGCTACTACCACGTGAGATGGGGGGCAGAGAGAGGCACAGAAAGGTGCAACGTCCGTGCCCCCATCACTGCACCACCCCTCTGCCGCATGTCCTGCCTGCTGCTATCATTCTCTCAACTCCACTCTCAGAATCTGGCCGCCTCCTTTACTTGTTTTGAGGCGCCTCAAAACCAGAATCTGGCCCCCTCCTTTACTTGTCATCTTTCCACCCTTTCCCCTTTTCTCTCACCTCCTTCCCCCTCCGCCTTCTCCCTTGGTTCCCCCCGCCAGCCCCTCAACCGGCGAGACGTGGCAACCATCTACTTTGAGGTGATGCCGCACACATGCACACGCACATGCACATGCACATGCACACGCACACGCACACGCACACGCACATGCACATGCACATGCGCTTCACATACAACCATAACTGCATGCACACATGCACACGGGCATGACATGCTGCTCACGCATGCACATGCATACTACATGCCCACATTGCATGCAAGGGGCGCTCACACATGCTGCCCTCTCATTCTCATTCGCACACTATGCTTGCTAGACATTGTCCACAATCACTCTTCCTCCTCCCCGCCTCCTCTCTTGCTTGCCATTCCTTGCTTTCCCTCTCCCTCCTGCCTCTAATCTACTCCTCCCTCTCCTCTTCCCCCCCAGGCCCATCGCTACCCGTGGGACGAGCAGTTCTTCTGCGCCTCCATGCAGCGCCAGCTGGCCCTCAACGCAACGTGGCTGGCCTTCCTCTCGGACCAGCACCTGCTGCCCTCACTCTTCCTGCTGCCTGCCTTCCAGGCACCCCTGCTGCGCCTCTTCCCCGCGCGCGTGGTGCTACAGCCCTTGGCGCGCTACGTGCTGCACCCCGCCAACGCCGTGTGGGAGAGGGTGGTGCGCTCACACCAGGGCCACCTGGGCCACGCCCAGCACCGCGTGGGCGTGCAGCTGGCGGGGGGAGGGAGCGTGGCGGTGAAGGAGGCATTGAGAGAGGTCGTCGGGGGGGGGGGGGGGGAGCGGAGGGGGGGTGTGCAATGGTTGTCCAGGGCGTGTGTGGCATCAGCGTGGTTGACTCGTGGCCTATCCTTGAGTCACCTTTCTGCTAGTACCTGGAACGGAATTCCGCTCTTCTGCTAGCAGCACGCATGCCATCATCTCATGCATCCCCGCCCTTTTTCCTCCCTCCCTCTCACTCCCCCTTCACCTTCCCCCAGCAAGCTCTGGAGCGCGGCATGGCACACGGGCTGCTGCCCCCCCCCCTGGCCCCCTCACAGCTGGCGTCCTTCCTCGACCACTCCGTCAAGGCGCGCCAGCTCTCCCTCACCGCCTGAGTCGACTCAAAAGCCTTCTCCTCCCCCCCCCCTGCTTTTTCCTGCAGCAAGCTCTGGAGTGCGGCATGGCGCACGGGCTGCTGCTCCCCCCCTGGACCCCTCACAGCTGGCGTCCTTCCTCGACCACTCCGTCAAGGCGCGCCAGCTCTCCCTCACCGCCTGAGTCAACTCAAAAGCCTTCTCCTTCCCCTCCTCCCCCCCCCCCCTTCTTTTTCCTGCAGCAAGCTCTGGAGTGCGGCATGGCGCATGGGGTGCTGCCGCTGCCACTGGCGCCCTCCCAGCTGGCGTCCTTCCTCAACCACTCCTTCAACGCGCGCCAGCTCTCCCTCGCCGCCCGCACGCTGCTGGACGGGGATGGGGGGAACGGGGGAGATAGGAGGGGAGAGGGGAGGGGAAAGGGGGGGGGGCGGCGGAATGGCAGGTGCAAGGGAGGGCAAGGAGGCGGGAGAAGGAGGGGGGAATGGATCGAGGGAAGGCAGGGGCATGCGGAGCAGCCCACAGCGCAGGCGGTTTGGGCTGTTTTCTCGAACGAGGAAAGGGGACGCAGGGGCGGTATCACACAGGGAAGAGGGGAAGGGGGCAGCAAGCAGGGGTGCTGGTGCGGCTGCTGATGCGACTGCTGCTGGCGGTGGCAGGCACCAGCAGGTGCCTCGGGTGGTGGCAGTGTTTGTGGCGGCGGACAGCTTTGCGGCGCTCAAGTTCTTCAAACGCGCGTACGGGCAGTGGCCCACCGAGGACCACAGGTGAGGGCAGTGGCCCACCGAGGACCACAGGTCAGCACAGTGGGGAGGGCCATGGGGAGTACCTCGAGTTGGAGTTTCTGGGGAAGTGATAGGCTAGCGAGGTGGAAGTGATAGGCTAGCGAGGTGGAAGTGATAGGCTAGCGAGGTGGAAGTGATAGGTTAGCGAGGTGGAAGTGATAGGCTAGCGAAGTGGAAGTGATAGGCTAGCGAGGTGGAAATGATAGGCTAGCGAGGTGGAAGTGATAGGCTAGCGAGGTGGAAGTGATAGGCTAGCAAGGTGGACGTGATAGGCTAGCGAGGTGGGAGTGACAGGCTAGCGAGGTGGAAGTGATAGGCTAGCGAGGTGGAAGTGATAGGCTAGCGAGGTGGAAGCTATGCCGGTTAGTCTAGCGAGATCTAGCAACTCAGTCAGTGCTCCCGCTCCCTCTCTCCTCCCATCCCATCTTTGCCTCCCTATGGCATGGCATGGCATGGCACGGCATGGCACGGCAGTGTGGTGACGGTGCATGCTGAGGTGGAGGACGACTCAGAGGAGGGGCTGCTGTCAGCCAACCAGATGGAGATGGTGCGACTCTGGCTGCTCAGCACATGCCACGTCATCATTGCCAGGTCAGCACGCTTGTGCATCTCCTCTCGTTGTCCCTACCATCCCTCCCCGCACTGTGCGTGTGTATCCTTGCATCTCTCACATACTGCATGCCACTTCCCCCTCTCACTCCCATGACCTTGCCCTCCCTACCATTGCCATCCTGCCCTCCCTCTCTGCCGCTCCTCTGCCTCACCCTTCTCTGCCCCACCCTTCTCTGCCCCACCCTGCACTGCCTCACCCACCCTCCCCCTCCTCAGCCCCACATCTGCAGCGGGCTATCTGGCCAGCGGTCTCGGGGGCCACCCGCCCTTCGTGCTCTCGCCCGCTGCCACCGATACTGGCGCTCACAGCACCCACAGCAGTGAGGGCGGGGCAGCAGGGGGCAACGCGGGCGCAGCAGTGTGTGCGCGCAGCTGGTCGGCGGAGGGCTGCCACCTGTCTGCCCCGCTCTCACTCATGTGCTCATCCGACCCGCGGGGGGACGGGTCGGCGGGGGTGCAGGAGCGGCACCAGTCGTCGGACCCCGCCACGTGGCTGCCGTACCTGCAGCGGTGCGCGGACCACAGGCAGGGGCTCACCCTTGTGCCCAAGTTCAAAGTGCCAGACTCGTGACACGAGGCTGTGCTCTCCTGTCCTGTCCCGGGCGATGTGTACTGGCCAAGAGTAGCGGTGAGAGCACGGCTGGTAGTTGTGGAGAAGGAAGGGGAAAGGGAGAGGGCGTGAGGCTCAACTTGGCAACATGATTCGGTTGCGGTTGCGGTTGTAGCTGCTGTGGATTTGTAAGTTGCAAAATCCTCGTCATGTAGTCTAACGGATTGTGATGAGATCTTAGTGAATGAAAAACCAGAACACTGAAGGAGAACGAGGCATGTGTGGCGCATTCGGCTTAGATAATGAGTACAATACATTAATTATGGAAGGCATTACATGCTTGTGTATACACATATTTTCACACTGACAGCACAGGGAAAGGTGCTGATCCTGTAGTCGCTAGCGAGCTAGCTGCTGCAGCGCTGCTGCTTGGCTTATTGTCCTCTTTATTGGGTGTCTCGGCTGCCATACAGCGACCACAGCCACATGGCGCCCCTTCAGAGCCATGTGTGGCGCATTCGGCCCATGCGCAGCGCAGAGTGGCAGCGAGAGTGGGTGAGCCTAAACTTGTTTGGCAGGAAGAGCAGCACGCCACCGTGTCAAAAACGGGAGGGGTGGGCTTCAGGCGGGGAGTGCGATGGAGGGGAGTGGTTCAAGCAGGGAGGGGAATGGAGGGGAAGGCGGAGAAGGCGCAGTCAGGCCGGGTGATGGCTGACGTCACATAATCCTCTGAAGAACCTTCCAGGAACCCATCCGCCCCCTCGCCCCCTTGCTCTGGCCGGTGCAGCAGCCCCGCCAGGTGCGCGTACGTCAGATCCCTGTGCCGCCCATCGGGGGTGTCCCTGAACGTCTGTCCGAGCACGCCGTGCACCGCGGGGGTGGGCTGCAGGTCCATGAACTCGAGGATGAAGTGCGCCTCCGCCTCGCCCACGCTCTGCAGCAGCGGGTGCGCCACCCTCACGCGCACGTTGAGCTCGGCGAGCCCCTGGATCATCACGGCGTACTGGTCCACGTCCATGGCGCCCTCCTTCTCCTCCGCCACCTTCGCCACCACCAGCCCCCCGCCGCCCTCCGCCGCCGCGCCCACCTGCACGGGCACCGCCACCTGCACCCCGTCCATCTCTACTAGGGACAGGAAGCCCTCGCGCCCACGCGCCTGCTGCTTGCCCCCGCGCGCGACTAGCCGCAGCGTGTGCGGGCGCCCCTCGTGCCCCACCCACACCACGCCCACCTCCTTGATCCACGCGCGCAGCCCGGGGGAACCGCGCGCGCGGGGCTGTGCGCCCGTGGAGGGGGGGGATTGGCCGCGGAGGGAGAGGGAGGAGGCGGCGGCGGAGAGGGGGTCCGCGGGGAGGGCGGGCAGGCGGTCAGGGTGGTAGCCGGTGAGGCGGATGTTGACGTGGATGCGACGGTCGCTGAGTAGGCAGAAGGTGTTGCTGAGCTGGCTGTCAGGGTCCAGCGTGGCGAGGTCGGATTGGGTGGGGTGGGGGAGCGAGGCGGGGGAAGCGGGGATGGCGGACGAATTGCAGATTCCGCCCACCCTGTTGCGGAAGAGCGACGGGGGGATGGGGACGAGAGGGAACGGGAGAGCAGAGGTTAGAAACAGTAGGATTACGAAATGGGGGAAAGCGGAGCGCAGAGGCAAGCCAAACGGCAAAAGCAGAGAAAAGCGGTGATGCGAACACACGACGCGACAGTGGAAACGAGGGGCGAAAGGGCAGGTTATCGAAGCGGCGTACCAGCTCTGCGGGAAGTAGGGCGCCATGATGCGCTGCTCGTCCTGCTCGCCGCTGTACGGCGTCTTGAAGTGCCCCCCCACGCCCGCCCCGCCGTCCTCCCCCAGCAGGTAGCACTGCGCGCCGCCCACGAACCCGCGCACGTTGGCATTGCGGCGCTGCTGCGCGCTGTTGAACCAGTGGTACTGGAAGCACAAGGGCGACGCCGCGCACGCCGCGCAGCACCCCTCGAGCGTGGCGCCCTGCCGGCCGCGCACCACCTCGACATAATTGCCGACCTCCTGTGGCGGCGAGGGAAGGGGGGATTCGAGCGCAGTAGCGCAGGGAGAAGAACGCGGAAGAGGACCGTGAGACGACGAGGCGGGAAGGGGTGGCCGAGCGGCATTGAGCTGTAGAACGTAGAAATGAAACTAGCTTTCGGAAGTAGCCCGCAAGGCAAGCGGAGTCTAGGGGAAGGACTGGAAGGGAGGGAGGGGGAGCAATTTCACGAGAGAGTGAAAGTAACGAGGGAGAGGCACTCGGAGCGGCGCTGACCTGGTAGACCTCGAGGTTGACGGAGCCCGAGCCGTGCTGGTGCGGCACGAGGCGGCCGCCGTGGCTGTTGAACGCGCCACTGAACGACCCCAGCTGCTCGAAGCGCCGGAAATTGACGGCGTTGATTCGCGCTCGCTCCAGGCCCCGCAACTTGCCGCACTGACAGCCGTCCAGCGGGAGATTGGCGGCCGAGGCTTGATGCGCGACAACGAGTAGGGCGACGAGGACGAATAGGGTTACCAGGGATGAAGGACAGCTGGCGCGAGCGGAGAAAGGATTCCCTAAAGCCATGATGGCTGGCGCGATAAAATTGAGACGGGAGAGAACAAGTGCTGGATTAGGGACAGAAACCCCGCGAGATGCGACGAGATGTGAGATGGGTGGGCAGTAGGGATTGCAGAAGACGGAGTGGAAGGTAGTGGTTGGGGTTATATAATGGATGGAAGGTTGGCGTTGGGCTTCGATGACACGACGACTACAGTGAATGAGATTCGTCTCGCTAGCGAGCTGTAATTCCTAGTCACAATTATTGGAGGTGCATGGATGGATGGTGCCTGGCGAGTCACCTGGCTGCTCTCCTGTGAATTATTCTGCTGGGAGTCACAGACGGAACCCTAATTTATTCCAACTAGCGTAGAGACCTGCACTACTACCCGCGCAGCGAAGCCAGTTTTCTTGAATCTTCCGCCCCGCCCCGCACTTCCCCCACCGCCTCTCCGCATGTGTTCCGTCAGGCGGAGGGGGAAATTCGGAGGGCGGTGAGTTCCGGGACGGGAGAAGCTGACGGCGCACCTGTGCGTCCAGCCTAGCATGGGACTGCTGTGGCGGGAGAATTTCCAGGGTTGCGGGGAAATTTTTCGCCCTTGCCTCGTTTCGGAACGCGACGCGCGGGTGGCTGGTGGCCTGCGGGAGTCCGATTTGAGGCGACAAGCGAGTGGGTGATTGTGGCGGGCGACGCGAACTGCGTTTTGGGAATGCCGAGCCGAGCCAGGCTATTGGCTTGACGCAACGGACTTGGCGAAAGTGCAAAAGTCCCTAGCTCGGCGCGGGTGCATGGAGCGAGGGGTGGTTCGGGTCAATTCGGTTCGGGACTCGAAACATGGGAACGCGTTCGGTTCGGGGGAGGGGGTGCGGCAAGGAGAGTGGAGCACGAGGGTCCGAGCCGAAGCTGGAACGGATCGCTCATAGTTGACAGCCAAGACCCGTGTGGGGAGGTGTTGCGCGCCAGCCGAAGAGTGTGTTGCCCAGTGGCGGAATGACGCAAGCTGAGTCGAGTGGGTAATGGAAGCTAACAACGCGTACAGTTGCTGGTTAAAACGAAATTCGTTATAGAAATAATCGTGTAAGGAATTGCAATTCCTATATTCTGGTTTCTAGAATCCTAGAAAAGCCAGTTGTTATATTCCTCCTTTTTTTTTCTACTCAACACTGACACAAAGGATCTAGCACGTGGATGAGATGAACAGTCAACCTAATCACTACGTACCATTCGGACATTAAATTGAACTCCATACAACATACAACATTGTACTGAAGGTGCTACCAAAGCATAGCATGGTAGGCTCCCTGCTGCAGCCATAGCTTCTCTAGCTCTCTCAGTTGAAGTCCTTGGTGAGCAGCAGGGCTCTCGACATCAAACAAAAACCATCTGTTTGTCTGATTTTCATACTTTTTTTTAAGCGTTCATATGATTTTTTAGACACTCTCTCCACTCTTCCACACTCTCTTAACTATCTCTCCACTCTCCCACACTATATCTCCACTATCTCTTGGAAGCGACAAGCCCACCCCCACACAAAACACCCCCAAAACCCTAGCACCCCAATGTGCCGCAGCTGATGAGACTTCTACCCTTTGAGCGAAGCGGTGACACACCCCCGGCGGGTGGAAGCAACGGCGTCAACGGCGACGGTGATGACAACGGCGGCGACAGCGGCGTGCGGCGGCAAGAAAGGCCAGCGGCATCAGCGGCGGCGGCGGAGGCTTCGATTACGGCGGCGGCTACAGCGAGGCTCGCGGCACTCGTCGGCGTAGCACGACCTGGCGACGACCGGGCATTGAGGCAGCAGCTGCGGCTGGAGGAGAGGAAGACATAGGGGGGGAAGGGGGTGTGGTCCAGCAACACGCCCGTGGCTGGCGTTGGCTTGTGTGCGGGCGTCAGGGCTAACGCCGCCTAAAACGAAGCGCGGCCCGTGGCTGCGCGACGACGCCGCCACGTCAGCATGACGACGCCGCCACAACGCGGCGTCGATGCTGCGGCGGCACGTCGACGCTACTACGGCAGCACTACGACGTCGCCACGACGTGGCGTCGACCCCACGGCAGCATGTCAGGACTACGACAGCAGCACCACGAAGCCGCCATGGCAGCTTGGCACGGCCGCCACGGCGGCACGGTAATGACGAAAGAAGAGCGAGTACGCGGCGGAAGCGTGGGGAGTAGGCCCGTGGGGGGAAACCTGCTCTGGTACCATGTTGAACTAAATACACTAGGCGGCCATGAAAGTAGGCGAGAGGTTTTAGGAAGGGGCCAAAAGTTACGAGAGAAAAGAGAGCGAGATTAGAAGAGAGAGGGATACAAGGAGGGGTTTGTACCCTCTACAGTAGGTTTCAGTAATGCCTACCAAGCCTACTGTTATATATAACCAATAAAATTTAACAATATCACAAAAGGGGTTGCATTCTATATGAGCATGCACCTAGCCTAGAACACAAACGAATTATATGTTGACACACCCCCTAGGCTAGACAAGGGGCAGCGACTAGTAAGAGACACACAGCTCAGGGTGGCACTACCGTAATCTCCCGGGATGATGACCCTAAGTCTTATGGAAAATTCAGTGAAAATCGTTTGGGTGGACATTTTAAAGGATGGTAATTAATAAGACCCATGTGCAGTTATTTATTACGTAAGGTGTTTTTTTGTCACATGTTCTGGTATTCCAATCCAATCAGGGTAATAGAGGGGGTCATTTGTTTCAAACGGGGGACAGTAGATTCTTAGCCTCGTTTTGTCCGAGCCATCTAGATGGACACGCGTCAGT